AAGACTATCCACAAAACATGACCTTGAAAACGATTCTTCTTCCAAACCACTTGGCCGTGTGCATGTTTTCCTTTTCAGATCTTTTTTTCGACCATCTCGAGGGATTGCGACGCGCACCAGATATTCTTTTTCACACACAGAAGGCTTCAAAGCGACCGAAGAATTTCTAGATCTTGCATGATTTGTCGTTTTTTTCTCCAAACCGTTTGAAATGAAAGACCCAGAATGACATCGAATAACAATACCCTGCTCAATCAGACTTGTGGGTGCATTGGAGTTGCACATTTTGCTGGGAGAGTTTGTTGCTGTGGATTTCAAGCGAAGTCGTTTTACAATGAAATGGAACGAATCCGAATCAGAGGTTGTCTATTCTGACCCAGCGATCGACATGTCTCAGTCCAATGGTTGTCTATTCTGATCCAGCGACCTACTACCTACTACCTACTTATACTACGTACCACCTACTACCTACGACCTACGACCTACGACCTACTACCTACGACCTACGACCTATGACCTACGACCTACGACCTACTACCTACTACCTACTACCTACCACCTAACTACCTACTACGTACCACCTACTACCTACTACCTACTACCTACTACCTACTACCCCTACTACCTACTACCTACTACCTCCTACTGCTGCTACTACTACTGCTACTACTACTACTACGACTTCCACTACCACTACACTACCACTACCACTACCACTACCACTACCACTACCACTACCACTACCGCTACTACCACTACCACTACCACTACTACTGGGGGGGGAGGGGGGGGGGCGTCAGGCTGTCGAAAATCTCGCGCGGAGAGACAATACTCAAGCAATACTAACCAATACAAGCAATACTAACCAAAACAATCCACAAAACACGCCGGCAGGCCGGCGGATTCATTGATTGATACGCTAGAACGAGTCTATATAGCCACAATTCCATCATTTATGCATTAGATGTGCGACAAAAAACGAAAGACTAGACTGGTGTCGCGGGGTCGGTCCTTGTGCTCCCAAGTGGTGACCCATTGCACATTCGTACTTATCCACCTGGATGAATCCTTTAGAACTTTTGAGAGTCTCAAATCGGACATCCTCTCCCTGTGAACAAGCATCAACTGAAACTGAAACTTGGGGAAGACGATCAAACTCCACATCCTCCACACTCCATAGTGCTGTCACACCAACTGCTCAGAACGCTGGGCCATCCGGAGCGGCCTCTGTGGCCGCCCTACCCGCCACGTGGCACGCGGCACTGGGTCGCCCAGGCCATGAAAGAGGAGCAGAAGCTAGCATTGGAGGCCCGGCCCCCCGCGGCGCTCCCCCACGGAAGGGGGCGTGGAGTCCTTTTTGAACATGAAGGGAATCTCCTGTCGCAGGTTGAAAAACCAGGTGAAGCGACAGGTCCTTCAAGGTCAAGGTGCTAAAAATGGTGTGGCTTGTGGTCTTTGTATTGGCAACTGCCCCGCCGGAAAGGGTCAGGGGCGGATGAATGGCCCTTTCATCCAAGTCGCACATAGTACTTTTTTTTACACTGCCTTGCAGATGTTGACTGTGGTCAATAGACAGCACAGCATAATATTGCATTCCCCGATGCCCAGGTTCTGTGTACCACCGGTTCTTCGCCATTATATGTGAGTGCGCAAGACATGCAGCTGAGTTGTAGGCAACGTACGCGCAGAAATTGGGTTGTATGTTCGCAATCTACGCGCGATGGTAACACCGTCAACCCAACCCAACTACGAAGGGATGATGCCATGGTATAAATACTCAGAAGTTGATTCTGCTTCTTCTTTTCAGAATTTCAACACTGCGATCGATGGCAACGGATTGATGGCCAGAATCTTTCTAGAAGAGCCGAAAGCTTTCAAGCCGTTTTCCCAGACGGAACAGCGAAGAACTGGGCTTTCCATCGTTGAACAACTTGGGTCACTGTGTGAACAGTGACGGTCTGACGGTCTGACGAGACGACTGTCCGCTCACGTCCGGACGACTGCCCGCTCCGGCCTCACCGTCAGGAACGCTTGGCGTTCCTCGAGGAGCACCTGCCAGGGATGCGCGAGGCCGGGGGGAGTGGGAAACCAACAGTTCCACTGGGCGTGTCTTTACATACTGGTAGGTAGGAACCCCAATTCGATCCACTGGAAGAAAGAACATAGACCATGTAGATCCATGCAGTCTCACATTTGGATGCATTGGATGTGAAGCTCCGCTGTTGACTGACTTTTGAGGGGAGTGAGAACCCCAACGAACTGTCCCTCTCAATGGTCGGGAGCTTCCCTGTTTCTTTTTCACCACATGGCCCAACATCTCTGAATGAATGTTCCCACTTCTTAGGTTGGAGGCCATCGCTAGTAGGTTGGAGGCCATCGCTCTTAGGTTGGAGGCCATTGCTTCTAGGTGGGAGGCCATTGCTTCTAGGTTGGAGGCCATCTTTAAAAACATGTTCCCACTTCTTAGATCTCAGGTGCCGTACATGTGTCCCCTGTCATTTTCCAGCGCAACAAAGGCCAGCTCAGAAAATGCCGCGTGCGTGGCGGTTGCGGCGTGCGCCCTCGCTTGGACTCTTCTGTTTTCATCTCCACCAGCGCCTTGCAGTATGTTTGTATACCATGTGTTCTTTTTCTGGCAGATGCCCCGGATACGCACATGACCGCTCTTGTTTGACTGAACGGTTTCAATGGCACCGGGAGGGGACCAACAGGTGGTGAAGCAAGTGCCGAACCACCAACCAAACCCAGGCACTCCGGACTGGAATATATGCCGATCAATTGACCCCGACTTCAACCACCCTCATGGTGTGGTAAATCTTCCAGTCCCATTGGGAGTGTTTGGGAAAAGTGAACAGGTTCACCAAGCCTAATGAAACTCCTGGACCACTCGTGAGCCCCTTCTCTCCATGGAACGATATCAACGATGCGAGGCGCTGGCGACGGGAGAGCGGGCCTCGCCCAAAGGGAAGTCCGCCATCTCCTTCAAACAGGCGGACTTCCGCACTGACTGGGCGCCTCAACTCCGTGGAGATCGATTAAAAAAAGAAGGTTTTTGTTACTATAGCTATAATGTCGACGTAGGATTAATCAACCCGGGCCCCCCCCCCCTTCAAGGTCAACAAGGTTTGAGATTGGAGGTTTTGGAGATCACCAGCGCTACTAGTAGCGAAATGCACAGCTGCTACTCCCTAGGGATCCAGTCGTGCCTGAATGCAGAAGGAGGGACTGGGGTGGGTGCCAGGAGGGTCCAGGTGCCGTACCTGAGAAGATACTTGGATCCCTAGGGACTATATAGTAGCGATGCACTAAAACAAACAAACACCCACACACACATTTCCTTGCAAACGTGGACCCAAGTCGAGTTGACTATCGTGAAACCAACACTGTGGACCGTGTAGTCATCCTCTGTGAAGTGCTACATGTGTTGTTGTTTGGGCTGTGACTGGGTAAGACGAAGACATTGGATCCGCACTCTCCGGCGATCAGGTCGCCACACGTGCGGAGGGGATTGGTAAACTTCGCGTGTTGGTGGAACTCGGGTGCTTGGTGGCCACAGGTTACTGCTGTCCAAGACACCCCACAAGCAGCCACTATGACTGAGGTAGCCTGAAACGTCGAGCAGCTGGCAGGATGTAGACAACTGCAAGCCGGATTTTGGAAGTGATGTACGTTTCTTGAACGTTTCTTGCTCGCTCACCCTGGAAAACCAAGCCTGGACAGGACACCAAGCCGGTCCAGGTCCAGGATGGTCCAGAACCGAGCCCTCATCCCACGAGGCGGTGTTCCACAGGGGCCACGTCTTCCTACGGCAGAACGAGCCGGCAGAGGTGACCTGTTCAAAAGCGTGGGAAAGCGGACCGCGGACGTCGTTGTTTCGAGTTTTGAGGTGGTTCCACCATTTGGCAGGCGTTTTGTTTGGTTTTTTTCCTTTTCGGGGTTTGAGGTATGCCATAGCAGATCTTTGAATATGTTTGAAGGATTTTCATTGCAGAGAGAAATGGGTTTGAGCGGCCAAAGGAAACACTGGCATCATGTCTTTTGGAGATGGGTTCTTTGTTGGTGGGAGGTTCTGGAAAAATGTTGAAAAGTTGGGATTCATGACTCATCCGTCAGACATGAGTTGATGTCCTAGTTTTCCACGGATTGACTGAATCTGTGGGAATCTACACACTAGCTTTGGATGTGACTTTCCTAGAGTCCAGTTACTTCGTATCATGAATAAAAAAAAAATATACATCATGAGTGGATTTACTGTATCATTTGTTTAATAGCCCGGCAGTGGTCCTTCTGTTTTTCATCCTGCAGGATGTTACTTACATCGTGGTGAACGTGGGAACCTCAGCCGTCGCGCCGTCGAGTCAGTCGAGGCCGTCGAAGTCTCGGTTTCAAGGTCGAAGGGGTCGACCTTAAGTGTTCTTTTGAGGGTTGGAGTTATATATATAGTATAGAATTACGTATGATACTGAATGGTTAATGAGTTGTTCATGTTTTCAGAAGCAACTCATATTAGTGATACAAAGAGTGAATCACTAATAACAACGCTTTTTCTTTTTTAAAGCTGGATGTTGCAACTTGAGCTGCGGGGATTGCGTGGAATCGACATGAACCTCCAGGACAGCCAGGACACGACATGGTCTCAAGGAGTGAGTTTGTTCCTTGAGTCACTGCCCAGTGAGTTAGTGTTTTGCCCTGGACAGACAGAACAGATTCAGCCCCTGAAACGTGTGACACACACGACTTCATGAACCTCCCTGGTCGCTGTTGCCGTGCAGACACGGGTTGACCAGCCACTTGACTCTCACTTGACCAGCTTCTCCATCCATTCTCCATCTTTCCTGGACATCAACACATAGCAACACCAAAGTGAGCCAAAAAGCCTCCCTGATTCACAGGTCTTTCTCCCCCCCCAGGTCTTCCCCCCAGCTGGAACACGATCACCGTCAAAGACCGACAGACCGTCCCCAACGAAGAACCCCGACGCCGGCGCCGAGTCCCGCAGGGCGCAGTGGAGTTCCTGCGCTGCGAGCTCATGGCGCCGCTGGGCAGCGGAACGGACGGCCGTCATGACGGACGGTGAGGGATGACGGACGGATGGCGAGCTTGGGGAAAGCGACATGGCCGGTGAAAGCGTGGCAAAAAAGCCAGGGGATTGGAGATGATTTGTTGGCGGATATCTACTGCCAGCATGTTTTGGCAGCCCAGGCCACCCAGATCGATCCTCAACGATGCGGCGACACCAGGCGAGTTTCAGCGTGCTTCGGCGGAGGGTTTTTTCCGTGTAGACTTCCATCATGGAGATGAGTTTCGAAAGCTGATACGTGTGTTGCTGTATTTTTCAATCCAGGAGACACCAACCAATGAGTATAGACTCGTTTGTTTTCCTTGTTTCCTCTAGAAACACCACCCACCATGCCAAACAAAAGAGCTGCGGTATCTGCGATAGACTTCCAGTCAGAATGGTCGGACCTGCGGAAGTCGACTGGACAGCTCCATGACGTAGCTCCGACTCCAGGCTTTGTCTTCCCAAGTGGATTGGCATGGATTGGCCATCAGTCCAGTCCTGGGGATTTGAGCCAAGAGTTCCTATATAACATGGTGACTGTGCAACACCAAGATAGGTGAGCGCAAAGAGCCGGCACCCTCTAGTCGCCAGTAGGGAAATCTTTGGTGTGGTGTAAGTGTATCGATACCTTTCGCATCGATGCCTCACGAGGCGCGCATCCATGACGCTTCCGGTTCAGTCAGAAAAGCCGAAAGCCTACTTAGTCGTTAGTTAGTTGTTAGAGGTTTGGTGGTCTCACAGTTGATCCGAATACGACACTGACAGATGCTTTACACCAAGAATGAGTTTGATAGGATGTGATAGGGTAGAACAGAGAAGTTGCCTGGCAGTAGTTCAAACAGTCTTGAGATTGCATACCTGACCGATGACTCAATGACTCAAGGAACAACTACTTAACTACTTATCGATTTACCAGTTCAGGAAATATGGAAGCTGCTCCAGCCTTTTCCCGCGTCCCACACTGGCATTTTCCGTATTATGCGAAACAAGATGCCACGTGTCCGTGGTCGCTGCCCGCAGCCGATGCAGCATTTAGATTCAGTGTCAAGCAAGTTGTCCAAGCGAAGAGAGTTGCACACACAAAGTTGTCCAAGATGGACTGGATTTGACCTTTGCACGAGGGGAAGCGACCCTTTGCCTCATGGCTTGGCTGGTGATCTCCAATCAATTTCATGTTGCTTTTTCCACCCACGAAGGAGGGGCCGACCCGAAAGACTCACCGGAAGTGACCCGGTGAATCCCAGGTCGAGCCCCTCGGCCCGGTGCAGTCTCCGGTCCCGGAGCTTCGAAGACGTAGAGTCGGGTTTGATGATCCCCGTCGAAAGAACTCGAGGACAACACCCCAAATTTTCATGGGGAGGTCCTAAAAAGGTACTAGATCTGTTTACCCCTGAGATCTCTAAGCGATTGTTATGGCACATCTTGCCTGAGTCATGGCGAGCAATGCGAGCAAGGAAGAACGGCGTGTGGCTTGGACGAAGAACGGAAGACGCACGGAGATCCCACGAGATCTCTAAAGTAGCAAGGTTGAGGGTCCAGGGTCCAGGGTGAGGCAACAAGGGTTGACAGAAATGAAACCATTCGGCAACAACCGAGAAGACTGTGGAGGTCGGGTAGGAAATGTGCAGCTATACAAAGTGAAGAGGGACTTTGCAAAAAGAGTAGGATTTGGGTATGGCAGGGAACATTTTTCTTCACCAAGCAAACAAAAGGGAGCTCACCAACATCCTCACCACCCAGATCAATTCAACACACCATTAACAGAAGAGCATTGCCGCATATTGCCGTGTTCAAAACTTTCATGGCACAATATTCACGGCAATATTGCAACAAGTCCGATTTTAGAAAAGTTTTGATACAGCACTGATGTTATTGTTCTTCTCTATTTTTGGCCATGTGTCTTTGGAAATCAAGACTGCCCTTGGTGGAGAGATGGATCAAACAAGAACCAACCCCAAGGCGGCACGGTCCCAACTCAAGACACTGGCTATAGCCAACCCGCGACTTCCATTGTGTCAACATAGTGCCTTTGGAACCTTCCTCTGATTGCCTGACATGAGTCCCTGATTGAGAACGAAGAAATCGTAAGTCACCTGACGTGGATCACCTCACACTGTTCGTAGATGTGCTTCTTTTTGGACGCTTGTCACAGCTCAGCTTGTGCAGGGCAACAAGGCGTCAACTGATGCCATGTTCAAGGAACTGGACATGAGAACCATGGAAGAAGCCTGCGAAGCAACTTCATGAAGTATTTGTCCGCCTCTGAGGAGAGCACGTAGCACACAGGAGAGCACAAGCCGACCTTGATTTGTTTCCCTCACACATTCCTGCGCAGCACAACTGGGTAGACTCTATTTGGAGCCTCATCCGGTGGGTCAACACCCCCCCGTGTGAGTCTTTTTTCGACAGAAGGACTGTAGAAGGAACTACTACACCTCAAATCTTCCTGCTACACCCTCCATAGGCTTCCCGAACCTGAAACCACGCAGAAAACATCGCAGAGAGTCCGTCCGAATTTCGGCCTTCCCGGGACTCCACCTGGGACTCCACCAGGGCGGGCGGAAATTTGGGGACGGCACCCGCCTTCCCTCGCCATCCACCCGCCGGTCACGGGCGCACCACCCACCGCTGAACTCGCTCGCAGGTGGTGATCTTCGACGTGGGCGGCGTGGTGGCCGACTCGCCGATCAATGCCATCCGGTGGGGGAGGGGGCGAGTCGGACGAGTCGTTTGGAGGTGGCTTTTGCTTGTATTGTTTTTTCAAGCGAAAGCATGGATCCGGAGGATTTGGATGGAGAAGGAGATTGAATGGGTACATGTTGGACACGACTTGGTGGATGCCCTGGAGGAAATTGGAGAAGACTTGGGTGGGATCCCCCAATGGCAGCATGCTTCTTGGGTTGATAGATGGTTGGCCCTTAGATGGGATGATCCGTGGGGGTTTGTGGGTCCGGTGCTTTGGTGATTGCCTTGTCAGAATCCTTAGCTTCATCGTTATGTGGTTCATGGTCGAAAGGCTGTAAAAAGCCTGGTGATCGGGACTCTGGACTGCGATAGCAAGTATTCGAAGAGACAAGACATGTACCACAGGATGGTCTCACACATGTGCGAACAACGCATGTGCGAACGACGCAGTGTTCGATGCAGGTGACGCAGTTCCCAGCCGAGATAAGAACCCTTCATTGATCCGAAATCCGCGGAAGCGCTTGACTCATCCCTTTGACTTGTCGTCGCCAGGGAATTCTGCCGGGCGCGGCAAATAGAGGCTGGGGGCTCCCAGGACCATGGGGTTGGGTGATGTTCAACTTGATTTACGAAAACGAACTGAGACACATGGGCAAGCAGGGGGGGCCCAGAGTGAACACCTTTGCTTTTTGGGTTGCCAAAGAGTGAAGCACATCCCTTGGAAAAAGGCTGTGATCAGTTGGAAGATGTTTCATGTGGAAGTCTTCGTTTCTTCGGATTTTGACAGTCTAATTTTAATCTCCAAGCAAATGCTCACAAGTTCTTGTGAATGCGAATGTCTCATGTCACACATGTTGATTCCTTTAAAATAGTTCAGGGAAGCTGGTGGCAAAGTAGAAGTGTCCCGTTGTTTGTCCTGGTGACAGGCTATAAGAGTTTTGCACACTGTCAGAACCAGAGTCGTGCAAAAGGACATCCACGCCACATTACCAACCACGTCTCATCACCGCAGTGTATGTACAGAGTCCGTTTCTTTCTTTCTCACACCTTGGCCAAGACATCTGTGCCGCTGCGATGTCTTGCTTCGGACAAAGCCCATGGCTCACAGATGCCAGCAGCGGAAACCATCTAAATTGCCCATCAACAATAAGGAAACTAAAGACCATCTCCAAAACAGACACCAACAGACACCTTTTGACCATCTCCAATAACCTAAGGCATCCGACAGACTCTGCGATGGAAAGAACAATGGTTTTTGTCAGTGCTCCAAAGCACGGCCCAATAGACCTGACTGACTCGAGAAAAAGAAGCATATGTTTTAAAAACAAAGGTCTGACCTTCTTGGGATGTTGAGATGAAGTTCAAGTGGCAGCCAAAGGTGCTGTTCATAGAAATGGATAGCTGAGTTTTGAACTCTGCAGGGCGGATATGCACTTTGATCACTGATGGGTTTGGGTGAATTGTTGTGAAGCAGAGCGGATATCCTGAGATACCCTGACCTAGCTGCTACATGACTTGAGCTAAGCAGGGCAAATACACTATGATGATCATGACTTCCCCATACTCTTGAAACGCAAAACACAACACATCATGTTTAGCTTTGAGCCTCTTGGACCACCGCCACTCTATCTCACGCCGGGTGCCGCGGCCCCATGCCGAGCTGGCCGAGCTAGCCGCGACCATGTGATGTCGTGGTGTGCCTCGGCCGTCGGTTTGGGTGCACGTGTATCACACACAGATGTGCTTTGGAGGCCCGGTTGGCCGTCCAAGAGATGCATGTTGTTTGTGTTCTTTTCCCACATTAGGTATTATATGATTAAAGCCAAGTGATGATGAATTCCGATCATTACATTCTGTTTGACTACAATGGATGCCGATCAGGATCGGGGTCTCGAATCGGGACGACCACTCGCGTGCCTGCTTTCTTCCTCTTCTTCGTCAGATCCCCACAGTGGTTTGACGGGACGTATCGGGACTGACAGCGTGTCATGTGTTCCATATAGATTGCTTCTCAATGCATCACCTTTTAGGTCAGAGCTTCTTTTTTGCCTGGGATGTGAAACTTTTGCACAGCAGGTATGGCTTGGTCATTATTTTGTTTCACCTCAGGGAGGTATGGCTTGAGTGTTATATTTTGCCAATGTTGCTTAGTTGCTTTACTGAGACTTTGGTTTCTTTGTGTTTCAGACAAACAGAGGCAAACGTAACGATAGAAGATCATATAAGCTAAACATATATATGGAACATTCGGAAGAATACATCTGTTTTATTTTATCTACATCATTTTCTGTTTGCTTCTCAAAGATCTCTCACAGTTCATCAATAGAAACCTTTTCAAATGACTATGCTGACTATGCTACACCAAACCACTGGGCAATCCCCAGGCGGCCTAGGGCAGCGCGCCACGATTTACCTCCGCTGGGCCTTGGGCGTCCTCTTTCTCACCTTGGTGGCGGTGCTCTTCGTCCCTGCGACGGCAGTCGGAGAGTGGAGTGAAACAAGGACAGGGAGTGAATTGGTACACATCAATATCTAATTACTGGATCATCTAATTTTTTTCTTGTGTTGTTTTCTATTTTTCATGTTTGTGTTTGTCGTATATGATACAAGTCGGTCACAGGAGGATTCTTGACAGATATTGAAAGGCAAACCAAAGGAGTCAGTTGCAGGCATTAGTGTCTCAGAACAGGGACACCCTTTTTCCACAGGGTGTGTTTTATCAGTCTTGTTCCTTTGGCAGAACATATTTTTGGGATCCCAGATCTGTCCTATTTTCCCTAAAAATATGAACACCAGATCTCAGATAAGTCCCTAAAAGTAAGACTTGGGTGTGCAGATTTTTTGGGTGTGTATTCATTTCTGCACACCCAGTTCCTAAGTCTTTCCTCAGTACTTGGCCCAACCCGATCACCGTGCTGCGGCGCGGCTCGCAACGCGCTTTCGGCCCGGCCGAAACTTCGTTGACCGGACGGATATGGATGTGTAATGATATCTAGCTCCAAATAGGGCGACCTCCCAGGCGTTCGCTCCCCACCTGGCTTCGGTGGGACCCTTGACTCTACCCAGCCAGGGCCAGGGGGTCCTCCCTCAACTACAAATCCATATGGGTTCCAAGGGTCCATAGGGGGTCTTTTGTTGTAAACATGTTTTGTGCCTGGAAGGTTTTTTTTTACTGTGCTCTCACTGCAGTCGAGACCGAAGGTCCTGCGAAGCGTTGTGGCCAAAGCTCGGTCGAGGTTTTGGACCTAAGAAGATGTCGGCCTTTTTGTTGCCGATTGCAAGTTTGAGGGGCTGTGAAAATTCAACATGACACAGCTGGTTGGGACACATATGAACAAATTTTGTTTGGTTTCCTGTTGTCAACTTTGAGATTATTCAGATGTTTACAGTGGGTGAGCTGTGGTCTGCAGGTTCAAGTCTATAGAGAATGGATTGTTGTTTGGTGGTCTATTGTTTCCGCATTGGTCCATATTGGTCCCACATTGGCCTCAGAAGTTTTGTTGAGGGTTTCCCACATCATTGCAAGTTTGGGCTACGCTCCGCAGGGGCAGCGCTCCTTTTTGCAAGCTTGAAAGAATCCGGCCCTTCCACTTCCACCCCACTTTGCCGCTGAGGGGTTGTCCGTATATGATGGAACCATCTTTTTTCACACTTTGGTTTCTTGGCAAGCTCTATCACATGACCGCGCAGAAGGCGACTGGAGAGGGATGGGCCGATTCTTACTCTTATGAATTGGTGTGTCTTTGTAGAGACTTTCATTGAAGTGACGCACAAATCGACCAGATCGATCGATTGCATTGCCTCAGTTTACTAGCAGTTTTGACCCAAGACTGGAGGAGCCGTTGTCCAGCCGGAGGAGTCGTTTCTGCAGAGAAAAAATGGCTGTGTATGTGATATAATCCGGGTCTAATTTGGTGGTAGTTTAGTGGTCTATTTGGTCAACCAGGAGGTCAGTGCCGGGGGGGTCAGTCTCCCTATAGAAGAGCTATGTATCGACTCCTGGAAGGACCATTTCGGATGGCGTAGACGGACTCATCCGATCCGAACGGGTCACCAGGCTCTGTAGAGCGGCAACATCCATTTGTAGAGAGCATGATCATGCTTGGAATCCTTGGACAAGTCAATGAAAAACCATTTGCATCTGTTGTTCTTTGAACTCCTTTTCGATCAAGGTTCCCCAAGCTCCCTTGCAAGTTGTATATATTTGTATATACTCCATAGAACACTCAAGAGAGTTCGGGCGCAAAGAATGACATTGCCGTCCAAATCATCCATTTATGATCATATTATAATTCATCTTATTAAGATAGGTTTGTTTTTAATTCGCAACAGTTTATGGACTTGACATTTGAGGGCATCATCCTGGGTGTTTCCTTTAGGAGTCTTACCTCTATGTCTTACCTAACAGTCTTTTGACTCTCCATGGAAGCATTAGACAATGTTTGTCTAACACAGATGCGCCATCTCTGGCACCATCTCCCTATCCACACATCAAGTAGAGAGAACCATCTCCAATGAAGACACCAACAAGGAAGTAACATAAGGTTTCAGGGACTTTCAATAACAAGTGAGTCATTGACAGTAGCAAAACTCTTACTGCAACAGCTACTTCCCATACTCTCCACTCTGGTTGGTGTTTCCTGCAGGGAAATTCGACAGCCTCGATCTGAGGCTATGGTTCATGTCCACAGTCGTGTTGTAGCTTGGAGAGGGCGATCGACGGCATCTGGCGAATCCCCCCAAAAGGGCGATGAACATGGCCGAGTCGTAGAAATTCCATGGTGAACACCATGAACATTCGGGAGACTGTGCATGTGTGCATGCGACTTCGCAAGCGGATGAAGAGTTCACTGGCCTCTTTTTCCCCCCTTTCAGGGTACCTTGTCGAGTTTTTTTGTTTCTATGTGTGACATGTTTGAGATGCGAAGATATATGTTGACATCGAAAATGGCATCAGCATTTGTGCATTTTGGATTCACGCAATCGGGTATCAAGTCGAGACTCCCAAAAGTGGACCACCAAATTCCGGGAGATGCCATAGATGCCATATATATTTGAGGGGTTTTGGGGTGGTAAGCTCTGCAGGACGTGTTGTCCAGGTCTTGTCCTGTGTCCTGCACCCTTGAAAACCCTCCTAGACCAGGCAAGCGCGGTCACAGCCATTCCCAGTGCCACTACGGGTGCTTGTCTCGGTATTGATACTGCTTGGCACCTGGGCCGAGCGACGACGCCTACGTTTAAGTCACGGCGTGCGGTGCGGAGGATCCGTGGGTGGTTCGGGCACCGATGTAAACCAGAGTAATTGATGTAGACGTTTGATTGATAAAGGCCTTCTATTTGGCTTGCAAAACCTCTTCACATGCGGGATGTAATCGGATCAACACTCTACAGAGACTCTACTAACAACCTGCAGAAACTTCTTCATCCTTCTCCAGAAAATAGAGATCAACTCACTATAGTGACAAGAGGATAAACAAGATGATAAATGAACCAAACATTGGATGCCACAAGCCTCCGGAAAAAGGTCATGAATCATTATATGGAACTGCTTGACACTCCCCATCGCAGGGATCTTGTCCTCCCCTAACAAGTCACCCCTTCGCAGAAGCAACTCCCCGTCCCCATGAAACTGATCACTGCAGAACGTTGCACAAACAAGCAACAAACAACCAAACCAACCCAACGCTGCGAGCGAGCTCCACGCGCCGCGAGACCGAACAGTGCACCGACCACGTACCGCAGCCAAACGACAGTGTCCTCATCTCCGAGGCGCCGGCTTCGTGACGCTGATCCCGTGGATCCTCTTCGGAGGCCGCGCGACCTGCCAAGCACGACGAGGGCCATCGATCACCGTGGCGTGGACCCATCACCGTCGACCGGAAATCGTTCGGAGCGGTGAAGCATCGGACCGGAATCGGAGCGGTGCGAAGTTCGCGGAGGTGTTTTTTTTCTGCCGCTATTCCCCCGAGGTGATGGGGGTTGATGGTCGTGTTTTTTTTTATTTGTGTGTTCGGGTGATGGGGTGGAGTGAGCGGTGGTCAGTTTCATACATCTGGACTCTTGTTTCAGTCCATCATGGCCAAAGTCACTTCGGCACAACATTTGGTCTGTCTTTACGAATGCCCAAGCTGTAGTCTCAAGGGTCCAAAACGCCAAGGCACCATCACATGCATTCTTATGCATAGGAGGCGGAACCAGAACAAACAACTTTTGGGACGACACAAGCTTTACACCCGACGCCAGTCCCCCAATTCATGTCGCACTCTCCCCCCCAAAGGCTATCCAATTCGTCCAGCCAAGCCACTGATTGGAGTGAGGGGGAACGGGGAAGAACACCTACTCAGCAACGGGCAACAATTCCGAACGCCAAAGTGTCGGGAAGATGCCTATGCAAAAGATAATTCAAACAAATTAAAGGACACGTGACACACATAGAAACTAACAGCGTACTTAATATTAATAAAGATGCAAAGGTGAAATTCTTTTCTCGACACAATGTACTTCAAGCCCGTGATTGTAGCGTGTTCATCATCACGATAACAGTTCTTGGAACCAGTGACACGATGGATGTTCTTGGAACCAGTGGTGCATGGGTGGACCCTATGGACCCTTGTCTATGTCAACAGCCCACCCCTGAACAAATTCGCCTTTACGCGCCTTTACCCATGCAGTATTCATGACAGTAAGGTGGTTGATGCAAGTCCAAGTGTGGGCCGATGACAAACATCAAGGATCCCGAACTCGGCCAGAATGGATTTGTGTGTTTTCCATGCCAAGTCCCACATGGACCGGACGGAGGATCCCCCCTAAGAAGCCGCCCGAAACGGCCAAAACAACTGGAGCTGGTTCGAAACGGCCGTTTCACGGCCCAAAAAGAAGAATCCCTCCACAGTCCACAGCCCGTTCGATGGATTTCCGCACGACTCCACCCACGAAACCTCCCACGAACCGGGACCCAAACCGGGGCGCAAACCACCGCGGCGGACGATTTCCAGATGCTCAGACCGAAGGCTGACACTCCTTCGACTCGACCCCTTTGACTCATTCCCAGGTTTGGGGCCAAGGCTTCGAAGAGCATTGGCTCGACATGCCGGGGACCTGGGTCGCAACACCGCATCGTTTGCGTCGCACGTGTGTGTTCTCGTGCGGTGTTCTGGTGCGGTGATGCCAAAAGGAAGGTGGCTTTATGGTGTTTTCTTTGGGTGAAAGAACTTGTGATGCAACACTGGTGCTTTTCCAGCCCATTCTATCTTGTTTTGGAATGTTTTGGATGCTCTTCTGGTGAGGTCGCCGAAAGATGATTGGTCAGCCAGCTCATTCCCCAACTGACTGGTTGGGAGCGTGCCGTGTGTTTTTTTTCTGTCTACAGCGCATATATGTGTTTCTTACAGTTTCACAAACATGTGAACAATTGCCAGTTGCATGACTATACTGTAGTTTTTTGCCAATAGCTTCGACTATTGGCAAAACCCCCCTTTGCTTTTGGGGGTTCTCACCATTCTCACCTGTTCGGTTCCAAAAAGAAGACGTGCCCAGTTCGTCCTGAGGGTCCAGAGAACCTCTGTTCTCTCTGTTCGTTTAAGGCAATTGCGACTGAGCTGCACCTGGGTGATGATTCTCATTGCGATCTATATCACCCTGGGCGATCATCCACCCTCCACGCACATTCGTCAGATCTCCCGCTTCTTGGCAGTTCGATTCCGCTTTCGTTGGCCGGTTTTCGGCACAAGGAAGAAAGGAATCAGCCTGTACTCACGTGATAAAGAGCTGACACCTCAAACTGAAGACCGGTAAAGATACACCCAACTTGGCTGACCCCGGGATTTGATTGAAGAAGAGAGGACTATGGTTCACTCTCACAACGTTGTTGTGAGAAGCAAAAGCTGACGGAACCATCTGACGGCCATCTGACGGCCACACACCTTTCTTCCCCACATTCTTCGGAACCTTGTGCATCGTTCTCATAAATCTGCGTGCACAGGATGGAACCCCCCCAGGTGAACGGGCGGTGCATCCTGCCTCCATCGCCCATCGCGTTCGGGGTGAAGCGGCGGCATGTCAGCTCCGTTCGGTTCAGATCGTCGACCTTCCGGTTGAAAGGTCCAATCCTCCAAAGAATTATGTAATATTATAACCATCATCACAACCGTCATCGTTGATAAGCGCCTGGCCACGGGCAGCCTGGAGTCTTTGCTAGCTATAGTTGACTTCTCACCTGGTGAAAGAACACCTTGTTTCCGATGATGTTCCTTGTAGGTCGCAGATGAGTTGACACAGCAAAGCGGGCGTGTCGTCCCCGGTTGGGTATGGGTCCCGGTTGGGTATGGCTCCCAAACACAAGGCCCACGGCCCGCGTGGGGTCCTGCACTAAGCTATCACATTGCACTTTTCTTATCGCGTCTAACTTGAACACTATATAGTTCGCCAGTTCAGCTGCTACATTGGGCGTGTGCGTGCCTGCGTGGTTTGCTCTTTTTTTTTCATCCCAGGCTGCATCTACTTCTTGTGCTTTGGAAAGCTGATCCAGGTGATCCCGTCGATGGTGGACTCTTGCCACGTACCCAATCTCAATGCCGAAGGCCGCGGTGCTCGGTTGGCCGCTGCGCGTTCCGGCCGCCGATCGGTGTGAAGGCGAGGCGAGGCCCGGCCGTGGGCGAACCCGGCCGTGGGCTGACACCATTCAGGGCGTGAGATCACGTCAGTTTCGGATCCAGTTTTGCGGCAGAGACAAGTAGAGACCCATCTTGAAGCCACGGTCTTGAGATTGAAGATACAGAACATCGAGCCATGGCCATGAGGATTTCTTTTCGGCAGCTGAATGGTGAAGTGATGGTTCTTGACATCATGCCACACACCACTGGTCGGGAAATCAAGGAGCAGCTTAAAGAGTGCCATCATTGGGAGGAAGAACTCACGCGTGAAACAACTCGGGTGGACATTGTCGTGGGGGCAAGTAGATTGCTGACAAATGATGAGACAGCTGCAGATGCAGGCCTTTCTCCACAATCAGACCTTACCGTAGTATTGAAACGTAACACTGTGACATGCTCCCACAAATGGGAGTTTGACCAGTTTGGTAATGAAGTTGACTTGGAGTCTTTGTTTGTGGTTGAAATCCCAAGCGGAGCCTCTGAAATTGTCCAGCACGCATTCAGCAAATGCAGACGTTTTGCAAGTGTGATCATCCCGGACTCAGTGACCCAGATTGGGAATTGTGCCTTCCATTGGTGCGGCTCCTTGGCAAGTGTGACCATTCCCAACTCAGTGATTATTATTGGGGACCGTGCCTTTCAATCATGCTGGTCGTTGACCAATGTGACCATCCCTGACTCGGTGACACAAATTGGGCATGAAGCCTTTGCAGGTTGCAGCTGGTTGACAAATGTGACCATCCCCGACTCAGTGACCGAGCTTGGAGAGAAAGCCTTTTCACAATGCAGCTCGTTGGCAAATGTGACCGCCCCTGACTCGGTGGCACAAATTGGGCATGAAGCCTTTGCAGATTGCATCTCCTTGGCAAGTGTGACCATTCCCAACTCAGTGATCCTTATTAGGGACCGTGCCTTTCAATCATGCAGGTCGTTGACCGATGTGACCATCCCCGACTCGGTGACACAAATTGGGCATAAAGCCTTTGCAGATTGCAGCTCGTTGACAAATGTCACCATCCCTGACTCGGTGAAGATGATTGGGTTACTTGCTTTTGGAGGATGCAGCTCGTTGGCAAGTGTAATCATTCCCGACTCGGGACTCGGAATTCGGATTTGGTCTTGTGCCTTCAAAGGGTGCAGCTCTTTGGCAAGTGTGACCATCCCCGGCTCAGTGACCAAGATTGAGAAGTTTGCCTTTCAAGGATGCAGCTCCTTGGCAAGTTTGACCATCCTGGACCTGGACTCAGTGACCCAGATTGGCACTAGTGCCTTTACAAACTGCAGGTCGTTGGCAAGTGTGACCATTCCTGACTCGGTGACCTATATTGGAGATAAAGCCTTCGCAAATTGTAGGTCGTTGGCTAGTGTGACCATCCCCGACTCCGTGACCTGGATAGGGCAAGAAGATGCAAGAAGCCTTTGCAGGCTGTAGTGCTTTGACTTTGGTAGTGCCTATCACTGGGACCTGGTTGGGGGTTGATGCCTTCGTGGGTTGCAAAGGAATTTTAGCAAAAGAGTGTGCATGTCAAGAGTGCGAGTACAGGTGGTTTCTGAACGGCTGGGTGTGTCCGAAACGACTGTGGCGATCTGTGACCCGCCATGGCCGCCATGACCCCGTCGCTGAGAGATACTGAGAGCCTTGCTGTGGGAAATTGGCCTATGCCGCTGCCTATGAAACTTTCCTGGCAGCGGCATGGCACTACTCCAATTTTGGCCAAATAGAGTCCAGCTATCCAACCCATCCGCTTGCCAAAAGGTGGCTGTTCTTTGCTGACTCGGTGGCGCCGAATGATGCCTAAAGGATCCTAAAGGACATACTTCCAAGTCATACTTACAGGCTAGAGAAGATGGGAGAAGGATGGAACAGGTTTGTTTGTAGGTCTCGTTTGCCACGTCTCGTTTGGACCACCTGCAAGCCGGTTGCCAAACCAGTCTACAGGCGCATGGCATGAATGTAATGTATGAATATGGATGAGTGTATGAGTCCAGTCTTTGTTGGAGTACTCATGTACATTCTGTGCTGCATGGACATTCCACTAAGCCATGCCTCCAACCATTGCACAAGATTTAAGATGTAGTTACCTTGATTGCCGGCCAACCTTTGGAGCAAATTGACTGATTTCTCTAAATACCTTTTAGCTAACCAAGCGCTCCACTTGGGAAAGGGCGGCTGGCTGGTGCTGGGGGAAAGATGTGAAAGCCTTTGATTGAAAGAAGCGGGGGCCACCAAAAATGACTACCCAAACAAGTGATCACACTTCCACCCCTTCAAAAGACGATTCCCCGTGTTTTGGGGTGTATTGCTTCAGCTACCCCACTGGCCTCGTTCTTTGGACGGCCCACACATGTGGGCCTGTGATCAATGGTTGTTTGTACGGAAGATTGGGTTCAAACCTTTCCTGTCGCTGGCGCCAGGAATGTGGTGCCCTATGGCACTATGGTAGGTGTTGATATGGTGTTGATCGTATTGTCAGTGCAAGAGCTTGTGTATGGGGTGTCGGTCTTCCGTCGTTTTGTGCCAAGGAAAGATGATTTGCCAACCTTGTATTCGAAGTTATTTCCCCCAGACACTCCATGTATGCCATATATATGCCTACATTGGGCCTTCTAGCAACAAGGACGGGGTAGTACCTTCGTTCCACCTTCGTTCCGCGTGTTTGTCTCGGTCAGGCTACCGCCTTGAAACTTCACCGGACGCCGTGGTGGCCAAGGCGTGCTCCTCACGCGTCGCGCGTTTGATCCGACAGACGCGTCGGATCTCGGATCGGCTCAGTTCGGTGTCCGGAAGCGGCTGGAACCGGCTGGAAGGTCGAAAACATAGAGCTTGCTTAGTATAGCTGTAGTAGCTTGCTTCCTGGAACCCAAATGATTGATGCAGTTCGATGTATGTACAGGTGAGGTGTACTATCTCGAACCCAGCTGACCTTTGTTGGAGAAGACAAGATGGTGCAGTTGATACTTCAAATGGTTTCGTTCTAGCATGCATATATTATAGACCTTATAAACTTCATTAACTTCTAGGCATGTACTGTGTTGCTTGCTGCACCCACCGGTGCCCGAGGCATGCCCATGTTGCAAACTCCTGCAACTGGTCATCAGGCTGTCACGCTAGCATTGATATCACCCTCGCCCTGACCGTCCCAGTCCCGGTCTACAGAACTTGTCAGTCTTTGTTCCACTGGGCTGTCTGCTGAAAATCCGGAGGTAACCGGTACACTCCTTCGGTCCAAGCCTGTAAACCTGCGACTGTCTTTGGTTGGTTTGGGATGCGACTGAGCTGATCGAGGTTGACAGAGAAGGAATTCTCCTTCTGCTCTTGGAGTCTGATGGTTTGCCATCCATCGGTTTGTTCCAATGCATTCCACGCCTGTCAGAGAAAAGACGTTAAGGAAGAGGCGCACGATTGCGGAACCTGGTCCCTGTGTGTTTTTTTTCCCGAAATCCCAGAGACCTCCTTCCACAGGACGTCCTTTTCAGACCTTCCCTTGTGGACGCTCCTGGTCTCCAGGTGTCCTCCGTCTTCGGCCTTGCCACCAGTTATGTGGGTGCCAACCCGAGCAGCATGGGGCGAGACACCAGAGCCAATGCCAAACGGTGCTGGTGGGTGTTTGGGTCCTCTGAGTTAGACAGACACCTCAAATGTCTTGAGTTAGACGTACGCAGGGACGTATGATTGATTCAATGGGCGGGGTGTCCGAGGATGTAGCGTGGTGGGGCACTCAACATAGGGGAAAGACGGGGCGAGCAGTTGTTGCTGGCCTGTGGGCCGGTGCTAGACAGCACCATCATCATCTTTGCTCATGCTTCATGCTTATGTTATCTTATCCTCATCCACAAAGTTTCATGACATGTGAAACACCTCCAACCGGTTTTGAAAGCAGTATCTCCATGTATCTCCACAATCTTGGTTATTCACACTTCCTCAGCCGGATGGCTGAGGCGTTATCTGGTTCATGCAGCTTGTCGTCCAGCGGCTTCTCGCATTGGAAGAAGCCTTTGGTGACCTGGAATGGCAACAGCGGAAGGGGAATCTAAAGATGAGGAGATGTGCGTTTCAAACGACATGAAACTGTCAGAGATACACAACTTCTATAGGTGTTGCAAGCAAGCTTGCAAAAAGCATCAACAAGTGTAAACACTTCTTTGAAGAAATGTAGAAATCTAGATCACATGGTTTCCATATCCAAATTATTCACACCGCTTCGCGTTCGAAGCCGCCCGCACCGACTTTGAGCAAACAGCTCCGCATATGCGATTGTTCCCCCCCCAAAAAACATCAAAAACCACATTCTCAATACCATTTACCTCATCCAGTCGGAGCACACGACCGAACCCATCCACGATATCAATCGTACAGTATCCCGCGGTTTGCCTAGACGTTTGCGATTTCTGCGATGTCCATAATATCTACCTATCTATCTATATATCTATCTATTTTCGATTTGTCTATAAATCTGTCTATTTTCTATTATCTATCTATCTATTTATACGGCGCGGGCGGATTTACCTATGTATCGACCTATTTATCTGCCTATCCATCTATTCAGCTATCTTGCCGTCTATCTGCCTATCTATCTATCTATCTATCTTTCTATCTATCTATCTATCTATCTATCTATCTCTTACCAAATTATGTCTCTATATTTATTTAGCTATCTCTCCGTCTATCTACCTATCTATCTATCTGTCTATTTATCGACATATTTATCTATTTAGCTATCTCTCCGTCTATCTACTTAGCTATCCCTCCGTCTTCTACCTATCTATCTATGAGACGTCTGCGATGTTGATAATGCGATCCGTCCCGCCCGGTATAACCGGCATCGCCAACGTTTGGTCCAATGCCCCTTCTCTTCCCAAGACGTCTGCGATGTCAAACATGTGATTTTCACCGATTAGCATAACCGGCATCGCCAACATTTGGTCTAATTTTAATCACTTTTTTCAAAAACATTGAAAAGCACAGCATTTCTAGGAGAAAAATGCAACTTGCGATGTGGACACGAGCCTACACAACGCCCTCGGGACCTGCACTGCAGGCGGATTTATACACTTTGGAATTTGAATGGGGTATCTCACGGTGACACTCCAAACCTGCACGGTGCAACCGGCCCCAAGACGGTCAGACACATCACACACATAGCTCCAAGACTTGGGATGTTTGGTCAAGAGGGATGTGTTTTTCTTTTTTTGTAATGGATGTGATCATTGTCAAGACATGCCAAGACCATGTCATCACATGTCAAGACTCAAGACCATGTCATCACCCTTCAATGTGTATGAATACTAATACGATCTAATACGGATACGTGTTTTTTTCACGGTAGTTCATGATGGCCGTGAAAACTTGTCTAGGAACCAGCGGGAATTCCTTAGTGCAGTCTGGAACTTAAGGTAGTACTGGTACCAGCCATGAGCGACCACTAGCTGATGAGCGGCTGACCCAGGTAAACGGCTGCCTTACAGCCGTGCAAGCTTCTGGCTATCGCGAGCTTTGACACCTTGGGCACCTTGGACCGACTTGGGCGACGAGGTCTTGGACACACATCTGCCAAGAACAGCAAGAACCTGCAACTTTTTTACATTTTGGGCACACATCGTGTTTCCGATCATGTGACTGAAAAACAAACACAGTAAAAGAACACATATTAAAAACAAGCGGCAGTGTTAAACACACACACCAAAAAGAAAAGTTTTGGCAACATAAGGAACCCGTATAGAACCTCCGTGGTAACCCAAACAAAACAACTAAATCAGTAAATCAGTGACAACTACAACATGTTACTTTTCAACCAGCTAAACCAACCTCATGTTGCTTGTACAAACACAATGTTTTCCTTAGCGTATGCTGTTTTTAGAGGTTTTGGTTGGTCTAGGTGTGGTTTCGCAAGAACGTTTTGGGAACTGGACAATCAGCAAACTGCCAGCTGTACTGAGTGCTATGCGCCATTAGCGCTTCGGTTCTATGTCGGTCGGAGTTCTGCCCGTTTCGGAGCTGTTCACTGGTTTGATCCCCTGGAGCCATCGAGCCAGGTGGTGCTGCAAGGCTTTGCGCTCTACTTCTCCCGCGTACTGGTGCTTTTGATCGCCATCAGCTTGACCATAGGCGATGGCACCGGGTAAAGCACGTGAGCATCTTTGGGGACGATCAAGAGTGAATAAGAGTTGTACAGGCTGAAAGACTGAAGTCAATGAAATCACAATGAGTTATGACATCCTTAATGACTTCCTTCATTGCATTCATGGAACGTCGATGAAGACGTCTCCCAGTCAGTCTCGCCACGCCGGGCCGTGGATCGCCGGTCGGTGGTATGGGTTCGTGGGTCTTCCAACATTACACCGTTCATGCATGGCACAGGTAGCATACGGCGGTTTTTGTAGATTTTGTAGCATCGGTGACATCTACGGAAAATCTCCGGCATACATGGAGTCAAAACCTGACACATCGGCATACATGGGCTAAGTCATTGGTATACCTTCAACTCGTCCGAGCCCGTCATGGCTGTCTCATGGCCAAATCCTGGGAGCCATCGCTGCCATCGCTGCGAACCTTCAGGGATCAAAGTCTTGGCCATGCTGCTCTGCATCGCCTACCAAAGGCCGTTGCAGTTCCTGTCTCTCGGCAGATGGTGTCGGAAAAAAACTTCATTCAGCTACCTGTTCCCGTCGGGTTTTTGTTTGGTTCTTGGAGGACATGAATTCCCTGCCCCTCAAGCCTCGTAACTTGGAGACAGGTCATTCAGATGAACTCGGCGACCTTTAGGAGCACAGATGTGGATGGGTTTCGAGCGAAGATTTGTCGAAGAAGAGTTGAAGAAGCGGCTAGCAAGCACAAGAACTATTTTCTCATGCCGTTAGCACAAAATCGCTCCCGCCATGGTTTTTAAATGTTTTTAAGGGGACAACCCGACACCGTTTTGAGCATCAACCCATCCTGTTTGCATCAATCCATCGCGTGTCGACGCAGGGTTTTGGCACCGGTTTTTAGCGGTGCCGAAAGGTGACATCTAAGTCGAGATCTGTTCGATCTAAGTCGATGGTGTGTTTCGACCGGTCTCTGGTCTAGGACCTCCACATTCGTAGCCAGCAGTCTGAAATGAGGTTCAATGTTCCACATAATGGTTCCACGATATTCCAGGATGAGTATCATGGCAGTGAAACTACATCTCCCTCACCTTGGAGCAGGTCTCCATCTCCTTTATACTTGGCCGCCCAGGCACCGCGCGCTGAAAATGGCCGATGATGACGATGGCCTTGCACAAGAGATGCGGAAGGAGAGGGGATCAAGTTTGTCGCATAAGCGATCGATAAGGGAGGGATGACGGCGATCCTCTCAAAACAAGAAATACCAAAACGAAAGCCTTGATTATACCCAGCAGGGCACTGGAAGATTATTTCGCAAAAAGACTCCTGCAGATTACTAATCTCCAGTCTAAAGATGTCTAAAGTCTTGAATCTCGACCTGTTGTTACCTGAAAATAATTTGACTGGCTTGGACATAGAATTTGTTGCAAAGAGGATGTTAAATCTGGAAAAGACTTGTCATGGGTTTCTCTTCGATTCAGAATGATGGGACCCGCACAATTCCAACGTGTTGTACACACGATGTGCGGTACTGAAATATCGCTGATGTAAAAGATACATGCTATAGGCTATAGATGATAATACTCTAACTGTAGCATTTGGGTGTCAAACCACACTTTGGTTGATATAATATGTTCAGATATGTTTACATATTATCTACGATTTTGGTGTCAAACCACACTGAACTTATGTATCAAAAGATTTCCCACTACCCTGGGACCCTGCTCGATGCGCTGATTTCTAGGCAAATGTCGGGATTTGCCCCTAGAGAATCGGCAAAACATGTTGGGACGACCTTGCCGCACATGACAACGCCTGTGTGTTGTCCATTACGGCAAAAAAAGACCAAAACACATCGAGTCTCCGTTTTTCCATAAAACACCAGGGGGCCGTTGCTTAAAGACACATGTTGCTGAAAGAATTCGCTGTGTTGGGCTATAGGTGTCCTTTTCGCAGTCGGTCGGTGTGCCCACCGAAGCCCACCGGTGTGCCGGGTCGTGTGACGTTCGGTGTGACCAATCGGCGCAGGAGACGCGCTTCGCCATGAAGTTGATTCGCAAGTCACAGAGCCTTCGCTGTTCGCGGGATCGCGGGATCGTGTTCGTAGTGCCTATAGTGATGTGGGAGCGGAATGGGAAGAGAAGAACACAGGAAACAGTAAGCAGTATAAGCTGTAAAAAAGATGTGTATAGTTTTTTTTGGTTTTGACCCACAGGTCCGTGGGGATTTGACTCACCCTTTATAAGACAATACTCGATCATTTCTTTCTTGATCGGTGTGTTCCCAGGGCCACGTGCCGGACCAGCTTCGGCCGTGACAGCCCGGCCTGGCTATCACTTCTTCTCCAAAAGCTTACCCCTTGATGTATAAGGGTCAGTGACCAAAAAGACAGAGTGGATGGAGAATAGATGGCACTACTTCAGGGTAATCCCCCAAAAGGTGGTATATATGGACCCCGATCTAAGAGACATTTGGAGGTTTGGGCAATCTACACTGAGACCACTCTAGTCCTATAGCCCTTGGACTGAAGTAGGTCCTCATCCAACAATATCTCCGAATACCACGTTGGTATGCCCTCCCAAGCGACCAGGCATTCCTCAAGCGCCCAAAGAAACTGGAACCGGACCAGACCTACTGCAGAAAGGTCAGACGCAGGACATGTTACGCAGGACAAACACTTTTTCGATTGGGAAACACCAGCAAGTCTCACACGACGCTGCACATGACGCCATACGGGACTCTTTGGGAACACCAGCAAGTCTTGAAGTCTCGAATTTCACAAACAGAATTCACCCAGCGAGCGCCGGCAATGCTCAGCAATGCTTGCTTCCGGATACTAGGCCAAGATATTTCCCTTCCCCTTTTTTCAACCTCTGCCCTGTGCACCGCGCGTAGTCATCCGTCAACTGGAGGATCGCCATCTTCTTGGGCACCACGGGAATGGCGTTTTCCTTCATCTCCTTTGGCCTGGACCGCCTGCGTCCTTCATCTCGTTTTTTTTTGTTTGTTTTCCTGCGTTGTTTGTTTTATGCATGTTTTTTGTTGAAACAGCTCGACAGAAAAGTGGAGTTGATTGGAGTGTGTTTTTTGTCGAGGACAGTGAAGTTCACCGGGAACTGAACATGGAAGTGGGTGTAACCCCACCTCTGACTCTTCGCTCGTCCGTTTTCCACGTGTCATGTTGTGTCTATTGGTCAGACATGACAAGAAGTACATCACTCGACTCTCTAGATAGAGGTCTGGGAGTTGACCGCTTGCAATTCCAGCTATTCCAGCTATTCAGCTAGCGCAGCAGTAGCGCAGTCGGCTTGGTTTGTGGCAGATCGATCCATCTCAGATCCGTGAGGCTGCTGCTGGCCATCTTCCTCCTTGGGCCATATATAGCTCGAGCCAACCATAAATGGGTCTTAATGGGTCTTATTTATATGATGGTCTTATATCATTTGCTTCTCCTCTCACCAAAAAAGATGCTTAATCCCCATTTTCTGCATGAAATTCTCCCCCCCAGCGAAACCTGGACCTGGGAGGAGTCGATTTCCATGTTGTTCTTTTCCATTTCCGCAAACAACAACGCCTTGTCGTCCGTCTTCGGCGTCGGTCGCGAGAGCGTGGCAGGAGTCCATGTTGCAAGACAAGAATTGGTCTCTCGTCTACGTGGTGGCCTCATCCCTGGACGCTCTCAGCATCGTCGGCGGCCTGGCCATGCTCTCGGGCGTGAGCGTCTTCAAGAGGCCCGGAGTTCAGCGCGTCTCGGTTCGACCGTGCGCGCGGTTCGGTTCGGCGGGGTTCGACCGTTCGCGCTCCCAGTGGGTGTTTGGTTGAGACATGTCATATGAGTGTGTGCCATAAACATTATACAGCTATTATACAGTCTGGAACAGTCACTATTTAGGGGAGAGGTCTTTAATTACTTACCATAGGAATCCGAGGGATATTTTTTTGTATAGAGTTGTAGTGTATGGGTATATACACCGCTTTGTTGGCATGCTATACAGTGTTTGCAGTCAGGACTTTTCTCAGACGTGTTATGGTTCGGTTCTTTGTGCAGTGTAATGGCTTTTAGGATGCTGTGTTAGTGCTGTTGAATTATTCCTTGTTTAACTCATGCTGTTGGTGATTGCTTCGGGATTTTGCTCAGCAATCACTAGACCCATTCGGCCTGCACCACCTTTAGCCGTCAATACAGTGGGTGTGTCTATCTCAGGTTTGTCGATATGCTTCTTCCGATCAAACCATTTTGTGGCCAAACATTGGGGTTCGCGATTCACCAATGAATCCAACGTGGTTGGAATCCGTTCGGGGCTCTGGTAGAGGTGGTTGGTCATTTTTCAAGGCACTCACGCACAAAAAAGAAGGCGGGTTGGAGTTGGATAGTTGTCCACTACTAAGTTACTATCCACTACTTGTTTTGGAGTTCACTGGTGGCTTTTTTTAATGCTTCGGCGACCGCCGAGATCTACACCTTGGTGACGGTCTCTCCATCCTGCACGCCATGCATACCTCCCCATTCACACCATGTCAGTACTTCGAAAGTGCAGATGTTTGTCCAACGGAGCGCCGGATTCCCCGGGTGATCAGGAACCACTTCCCTAAGCAGTGGGAACCACTTCCCTAGGCCACTGGGGAACCACTGAGCTCCCGCACTTCTGGGCGAGGCGACTCGTCGGAGAGGCGTTGCGTTTGCCGATCCTGAAAGGTCTCCGCAGTTGACGTCGCGCAGAAGTTCGTTGACGTCGCGACGGCAGGAGAGCGAAGCGAAGCGGCGAAGCGCTTCTTAGCAGTTTGGTGGGTGCCATGCGGTGAAGAACTCAGTTCAGGTGACTTGGGGACGACTGGGGAGTAAAGATCGTCTATGACACTATAACAGGTCTATGACAGATCCGGAAATTTCAGCTCAGGGTCTATAATAGTCCGTGGTGTTTTTTTCGTTTTGGACACACTGACGATACTATGCTAAAATGTGTTTGTTTGAGGCACCTAACTGGTGGCCTTCAAAGCCCGTTTCTTATCTCACAGCCTGGTGAGATTCAAGGGACAACCAGGCCACAAGGATTTCTGAAGCTGGTCGAAGGGAGGAACCCCCCCAACAACATATTTGCTAGACCTGTGTGTTGGAAACACTGGGGTTGTGAAAATCACTTGCCTGCCTCTATAGCTGATATTTTTTCCCGGGTAACGCTGCCAAATGAGAAGTGGTTGAAAGGCCTATAATGAATTCCTGCTGACCCTCCCAAAAAAACATGTTTTTGTTTCAACATGTGGCAACAAATCCTTTCTTCTTACAGGACCGTTGTGTCTATTTTTGTTTGGAACGTGCGCCATCGTATTCAACATGGTTGGAATGAGTGAGTGCTTCGGACTGACATCACTGGTGCTTCAATCACTGCACATCATTGAAGTCGAAAAGGATCATCAAACTGTTTGTTTTGGTGATGCTGAACAGCTCTTTCAACGGTCTTCCTGAAAACGGCTGCCCTCATGACAATGGCGAAGGGACCCTTTGGAGGTCCCTAAGTGATCCTTTTGATCGGCGGAAATGACCCGGGTTAATCAAGCGTGTATCACGTGCTCAAGACAGGATCAGACCTCATGGATACCTGCTCAACACACTGATCAACCCAACAACCTCAGACCCCACGGATGTTCCTCTTCTGACCGGTGCGACTCCTAGGTCCTGCGGGAAGGAACCTCGCCCTTCAAGATGAACATGATTGAAATTCCCTTTGGTTCCAGCCACCTCTCTCTTCCTCGACTTTTTTTCGTGGCCAGGACTGTGACAGCTCCTGCTCTTGTGAGAAGCAGCAGAACAGGCCCGCACGGCACGAGCATTGTCGCAATCCACCTCTTTACCCATCCAACCAGGGCCATATATTTCCCATGATTTCCCATCCAACCATAATCTATCCCAGTGCCAGCATCCGTCGGTAAAAGATGATCACTATTCTGGAGAATCTCTTTCCTCCTCCTACTGCTGCTACTACTACTTCTACTTTGATATTTTTAACAACTTAACAACCATAACAATAACGGTCCTCATCATCCACTGTTGGTAATGGGCTTTACCGATATACCCAAGCTCAACCCTTTTCAGTGCGGCCTTGCTGTCTCGGACTCTCCGCACGAGGCCCTGCGAGCAATGCCGCTGGCAGGCGACGCTCGGAGTCCGACCGACCAGCCCCGACCAGTCGGGGCCTTCGGTGAAGTCTGGGACCCATCATGACCGTCACCATGACCCATGCCAGCGAGGCTCTGGAACGCATCTCATATTAACACCCCGGACTTGCATCATCCATTCGCGATGGAACTCCACTGTTTGGACGCCCATTGCCCCACTGTCCGACCACTGTTCTAGGACCTTTCTGGGCTGTCAAGCAAGTCTTTTTAGTTTGCCTCCATTTTGTCAACCTTAGGTCAGTTGCCAGAAATGGGTGGGGTTAACCCTCATAGAAGGGGTCCAAAACATGGAGAACCTACGTACTTCTACTTGCTGGAGGAGCAGGATTTTCTTACAGTAGATTCACTTGTTGTTTCTGAAGCTAGTCTTGAAGGTTACTTGGAAAGTGGGTGAGACGCTTGGCACCACCTGTTTTCTTTGTGAAATGTTCTTATCCAACCTCAGATATGACTGGCATGATGAGCACCGCTCTAGAAAAGGAACAGCTTTTGCTATGTTCACTTCTTGCCAAACCCATGTTCAGACTATTGGTTTGTTTCCTTGGTAGCCACTTTAATTTTATCGAGTGCCCGTCAATTTCTACTCTTTTTCTTATCGTCCATGTATTTTACATCATCAGCTGACTGTACATCATGAATGGTCGCAGTGCCCAGTGGCTTTAGCTCAACAACTTGCGCAGCTCCAAGAGGAAGGTCGGAGTAGTTTTCGCTAATCGCCTCCTGCGAACGGAGTCAGATCAGGTGAACCGTTCTTTTTTTTGGTGGCCTCAGATCAACCAACCCGGGCTTCTTCTAACCTTGGCTGTTGGTTTTGTACTTCTTTCTTCCACAACCGACCACCCGAGTCACCGGAAAACCCATCAGTCAGCCGGTGGACCCGGCGACCTGGACGCGCGGGCCGAGCGAAGTGCCAGCGGCTGAGCTGAGGAAAGTGGCCGAATTGGCTGGACGGCGCGTTACGGTGGAGGAACTGCTGGATTTCTACCTACAGCTGGGAGGTGGGTGGGTGGGTTGTTCGCGAATTCTATATCATGAGATCTTTTTGGTGGTATGGCTGTGGTTTTGGACCTTGCCTGTGTCTTGTGTCTTGTTTTGTGTTTTCCTGGAGCTGGTGTTTGGACCTATAGCTCCACCTTCTGGAGAGCCACCCCCAGTCCAAATCTATATGAGGAAGGCAACCCTTTACAAGAGAATTCGTGGAACATGTTGAGGGTGTTTTGGACTACTGGATTTCCAGATGTGGGTCCTGCAATAAGGGTGTACTAACATATTCAAAACAGGGTCTGACCCGACCCGTGTTGTCCGTGGTTCGGACCTTCCCGCTGGAAGCTTCCGTTCACATTGACCAGTCTACCATCCCTGCAGGTGAGGCTGCCGACCTGTCCGAACGCGGACTAGACGCGTTCGACGTCCGCGTTGTCCGCCCGGTGGACTGAGGTGATGAGGCGATGCCCCACTTCGACCCCGAGACATCCACCACCAACGACGTGGTCACCTGGACCGGTCGACGTTGGGACGGTGCGACTGGGTGACGACCGTTGGGACGGGGAGGTTTTCACCGGTGGCCGGGGTGAGTTTCAGGGAGCTGGAACTTCAAAGGGAATGGAGCTTCATGTTTGCTGAGACCTAAGAAAGAAGCTGTACTGTAGCATGTTGGTGCTGCATGCTGGCCGGGAAGATGCTTGTGTTGATGGAGTTCTTCAAGGCATTTCAATTCAACGTTTCGGGAAACCCGTGGTTTCGCACACACTGGGACCAATTACGAGCATTTTCACTGCTTGGGTTCGGGGTGGCGTGGTTCACTGCTTGGGTTCGAGTGGGAGTGGGGATTTGTTTTTTTCCTGAGACTGCTCAAGCAGTGGTCTGACCAAAGTTCACATAAGCCACACCATCCCACATCCTCATCCACGCTGTACTGGCTCAGGTGCGCCAGATGGTAATACCCTCCACTTTGAAAGAGGATGGCTTCGGCTATTCCTACGCCGAGCTTTGCGATGACAGGACCAAGGGAATGGATGGAGGTGACAAAGCCTTTCAGACGATCTCGCTTACAAGACCAGTTTGGAAGTCTAGTGTTGATGTGGAGAAGACACGGTACAGCACCTGATATGTCCTGCAAATACCCAGCCGCAGCCATCCTTGTCCATTGCAATTTAGCACTTCTCCTCACACCGCTCCTCCGTTTCTTCAGGACCAATGCCAAGCTTCTCACAGCCAGTGGCACCCCGCGCACGGCGCGTCGCACGTCCCGGTCGTCGAAGACGGGGCAGTGCCCTCGGATGGTGACGCACCACTGGTCCAACCGCTTTCGGGATCTCCTGGCCGCGGTCTTGGCGGATGCACTGAACTTGAAGCGCTGGGACAAGCTGGCCGAACGACACTTGGTTGGCTTGATAGGGTTTTTAGATGTTTTTAGGGTTTTTGCGTTGAGTTGGTGGCACTTGGGAAGCAGCTTTATCAGTGTTTATGGCCACTGGAAGTCTTAAGAAGAGGTTTGTTTTGTTGGGTATGGTGAGTGCTTTGATGAAAGTACTCAGCAGCTGTGCTGTGCAACGTTGGAGGCAAAGTGTCCATTTTGGCCATCAAACACCCACCATTGGACACTCCTGTGACACTCTTGAGAGCCACCTTGAAGTTGAAACCAATGGTTTTCTTTTCCAAACTGACGTTTGCACCGTTCACTCCCCCTCCCTCTCTCCCTCTCCCTCTCTCTCCCTGTCTCTCTCTCTCTTTTTTGTTCCGAATATGTGCAGCTTACCAGCTTGCCAAAACACGGGTCACATCTTCATTTCGGTGGAGACCACAAAAAGGGCCGTCACCACTCCAACCATTTGGACGTTCAGCGGCTCCGGTGAACACCGAGTTCAAGGAATCACCGCGGCTCCGGCTCTGTTCGTCTGAGGTCTGATGGCGCGCAAAGGAGAGGAGTTGAAGGAACAGCTCTACGGCCAAGGATCCCTCCATCAGCCCCTCGAGCTGAGATGGACATCCAGACCAGTCGAAGGGTGCGGGGGGGAATGGAGAGATGGAACATGGTGGGGATGAAGGCCAAGAACCATAGGAACATAATAGGAAAATATAGGAACATATTCTGATACAAGATTGATGTGTATTGATGTGTATTGATAGAATCCATGGTAGGTGGGCATCCCCTTCAATCACTGACTATAGCCACCTTTTCACACACATCGACAACGACACAACGACTCATCCACTCAACTTCTGACAAGATACATCATCTCTCCCCATATACTACCCTTCCCTCCCCCCCAAAACCGAACAAGAAACAATCTCTGCCCCTTCCCTCCGCCGAGGGAGTACTGGATCTGTGCCTTTTGCATCAACCAACACGCCTCCATCTGCAGCAACGCCTTCGGAGCCAAAGACACCGCCACCGGGCAAGCGCTGCCCTGCTGCGGATGTCGAACGCCCAAAGTGCTCAATGACCAGCCCATTGACTGTGGCTGGGCGTGGAAAATTGGGGGCGGGTCCATGTGATTTCGTGTGGAAGTAGCTGGGGTGGGGATGAGGTCGCGGGTTGATCTTTGAGTGAAGTCAAGAAGCATGGAGGAGGTAGGTGAACTCAGTGGTTGTATCATGTTGTATCCCTTTTTTTTGGACCGTTTGATTGTTAGGTGATCCAGTTGTTTTCAAAGGGTGGCTACATGCATATGATTTTGACAGTTTCACTTGAAGACATTTCATCATATATCGGCCTTAGAGCCTTAGAGTGGCTGAAAGTTGTTTGCCTGTAAACAGACTTGCGTTGCGTTGTTTGATTCTTGACTGGGCAGGGTTATACATCTTGTGGCACATAATATATCATTTGGATGAGTCATTTGGATATATGTTGTATTGATATAATGTGTATTAATATGTATACCTAGCCTCTTCATTATTTTGTATATGTTCAACCTCATTGGCTTCATGTCATCGCCATTGAGTGACATCTTTGGGAGTTTGCTGACCACCAACCACCGGAACACGAGCCAACTAGGGAACCCAAGGCTGCATGTGTGCGTGTCTCATTGGTGTTAACTTCCTCCCCAAAGAGGCGACGCCTTCACGTGCTGAAGAGATGCACTTAACAGAAAGCCTATGGGAGGGGTTGTTTTCTTTTGAGACAGGGCCTCCTCTACCAAGGGCGAGCGTGAGCGTTCGGTCCCCGTCTATATCCTCGTCTGCTCACCAGCTGTCAGGTGAGATGAACAAGTTCGATGAGACTTGTCGTGTCTTTTTTCGAACCGAAGATCCAGAATTGGATGAGTCTAGGCCGTTAGGCAGAACAATCAACAGTTTGGGTCCCGAAGAGGGCAGGGGTTCTGCTTGATTGTTGAGGAACAAGTGTTGGATTAACGGTTGAGGTACAAATGGTCGCAGACACGCGTTAGAGTCATGTCACCCAGACTGGTGAAGGTTGATCATAGCTGCTAGAATAGCTCGCATGGCCGAAGGACAGGGCCCAGGGGGGTGTTCAGATGGACAGCTCTCTCCTAGTTGTACCGGCCCTACTCTGGCAATTCGATTTCTACAAGCGAGGCCTTTCTTCACACCGTTTTTGGGCCTTTCGTCTCGTCTCTTTAGCGTTCTTCGAAGGATCGGACCGCCGAGTTCGGGAGCACGGAGCACCGGTCCACTTCAGCATCCGGTCCACATGCAGGGAGGTCACTCAACACTGCAGGGAGGGGGGGGGCAGGTTGATGGTTTTCCCGCGGGTGTTTGTTTCCTTTGGTTTTTTCTGCGTGAAGACCCGCATCTCAGAACATGATGGCATACCTTCATCAAGAGTTTGACGGCTTCCTGCAAGTTGCTCCTTGGCCGCTGCTAGATGTCTTGGAGACAGTCAGAGATGCCGCTGGTGTGAAGAGAAGAGACCAGTCGACAAGTCTTTGCAGTTGGACAGTGGTGAGCAAATTAGAGGCATGTGGCTCTAGCAGAGCGGCTGTTAGATGTCGCTTTGGTTACTAATCCCAGACACTCCAAATGTGACTGCGATGCCGCCCCAGACCCCCCCCTGGCACCACCACCCCAATTGGCAGTCCGGACTGGCAGTCCCATGGAGCACCCGTCGCACCAGTCTTTCGCACTCCGTCACCGGGGGTCGTTCCGGATCTAGCCGGACATTCCCGGACCCAAAGATGGTAGATACATACCCATGACTTGGAGACCCGAGGGAAAAAGGGAGGCGTTTCTATCAAAAGCCTTTAGGTTGATTTAGGGATGCAGAAACACGTGCTGTCATGAAACAGTCTTTCTTGCTGCTGGGCAGGTTGCTATTGACAATGCCTCTTGGTGAACGTGCAGCGGAGGGACCGGATTACTGCTCAGAGATCGGGACTGCGTTGGCCCAATTGCTTTAGAAGACTCCGTTTTAGATGCCCAAAATCTGATCATCGATAACTCCTCCCATGTCAAGAGCATTAGATGGGAACCACCTACTTTCACTTTGGGGCAAAGGTGGTTGGAGCGTTTGTGCTTGCTTAGTTTTTTTTTGGTACCTCCCTGGTTAGCAGCAGAGTCATGCCCGTGCAAACAAACAACACATATCTTGAAACTTTCAGCTACTCGACAGATGGAACTATATAGTATATATAGTTATCTAGATCGCGGAGACTGCACGAGTTCCCCCCCAAAGTATCATGATTCTTTCACAAGTGGCTAGCTAGACTGCGGCTTGCAGGTTCCATCATGTCCATGGCCTCAGTCAGAGACGGAGCCTCACCACGACTGCTTGATTCCCCGACCGTTTCCGCGCAATCGATGAAAGACCGGGAATCTGACACGACTGCGGCCATCCGTCTTCCGACCCGGCCACTCGTGACCCCACGGGCCAGCCCAAAAGTCCGGACATAGGGAGCCCTAAGAAGGAGCCCATCAACAGATTCATCGCAGCGTGGGGGAGGTCCGAACCCAGACCCTTAAAACGGAACGTGTAGTTTCACGCGTTCCGTTTTGGGTCCAACAACTCGGGCAAAACCCGCATGATTCAGGATAAAGACAACCTCAAGTTTGGGTACACCTTTTCACTTTTACACGGGTATTTGGTCGCCAACAAAAGAGATCAAATGCTCTTCAATGTCCAGCAGCTACACCTGGCAGCTCATGGTCATGGCAGTGTTTCCAAGGGAGCCTTCTTTCCATCAGCCACCTGGCCTGGCCTGGTTACCCGTGCCACTCAGGACTTCCAGATCTTCTCCCGCGCCTGGTGTGTTGCGGAGCTGGTCCAGGCGACTCAATGCTGTGGTGCTGGGGTTTTCGTGTGAACGAATTGCTTTTGGAGAGTGGCAGTGGCAGGTAACCAAAACGGTAGGGGCTGATAGATGCTGCTGCTCTTCTCTATAATCGCTTTCCCGAACAGTTGTAAGGAGGCAGTGGGTCATCTCCAAGCGTTCTTTCTTCATCCTACAATGTTCTCGCTGTCCCGCAGCAAGGCGGACACTCTTAGAAAGCATGGTGAACCCCGAACAGTAACCTGTTTTGGGCAAAACATACCGGGCGACTGGTCACCTCCGGCCTGGACCGGTTTTGGACCGAGAGCCGCATGACCAAGCGGTGGGACCGACATCGCGTGCTCGCCCCGTCCGGGAAAACGGGTCACTCAGAGGGTCGTCAGGCCCGTCCCTGGAAGGTCTGACGGTCAGAGGTCCAAGCTTTGGGTCCGAGGGAATGTGCTACGATGGCCTTTTGCAACACAGGCTCCGATGGGTGACACAGTCCAAGCCACATTGGAAGTTCCATTTTCCTATGCTCTCTAGCTATATGCCCATCTCCAAATCAAGACACTCTTCCACACTCCACCATTGAGACCATACAGTCTAGGTATTCACCCTCACCACATAGAGTCTGAATCCCCCATTCCTTCTCCATGTTCTGATAGGCAATGATCCAATTGGCATGGCTCTGATCTGTCAGATCTCTCATCAAGCTTTTGCAAAAATACTAGCTGCTAGCTCTCATGATCCTCACACAGAAGTCCATCAAATATCATCTATCAGCAAGTTCAGGACATCACATCATATATCATCAGATCATCACCTCTATGAGGGGGATCTTGTCTCCAAGACCTCCAATCTCAATGAGTCCTCAATCTCCAGCAACTGGGCCTGCCGGGCTCCTCCCCGGGAGAGGGGGGGGGGGAAAAAAAAAAAAAAATTGCCGGGGGGTTGGGCAACCCATTTTTTTTTTTTTCCCCCCCCCCCCCTGAGAAGCCCAGGCCCAGGCCCCAGTTGCTGGAGATTGAGAACTCATTGAGATTGGAGGTCTTGGAGACCAGATCTCCCTCATAGAGGTGATGACCTGGTGATGTGTGATGGGATGTCGTGGAGTTGCTGATAGATGCTGGTTGATGGACTTCTGTGTGGGAATCATGAGAACTAGTATGATTGAATAAGATTGATGAAACATTTGACACATTACAAGTCAACATGTTTGCTAGACACGTTCTTCAAAACAACTAACATTTCAAAAAACACAGAATAACCACAAATCACAAAAACGCGTAAAAACCACACCCGCATAACGTCGTTTTCTGTAAAGTAAAGCAACCATGTTCATCCATTTTCCTAGCCTGGAATCAGAGCAGATGACATAAGCAAGCCCCCCCCGAGACCATTCTATTAGGGATCTTCAAAGCACCAGGGCTCAGGAGCAGCAGTTCAACCTCTTGATGGAAACGGCGTTCTGATGGATGTTCAAAATTATCGGATGGACTTCATGTAGACTAAAGCATCCAAGATGTTTACAGTCTTTTTCTTGTCCAAAGCTCAAATTGGCTCCCCTCGTGCACAGGTTGGCTCCTACAGTCAACGAAAACATGTGAGAACTGTGAGAAAGCATGATTGCCGTGGTGTGAGATGATGAGGATGAGGATGACGAGCTCAAGAATCATTTTAGCCGGTGCAGCAGTGCAGGTTGGTTAATATTGAAGTGCGCTTGATGTTCAAAGGTATTTTTTGCACTTGCTGTTGGATGTCTTCAAGGTGAGCATAGACGTGTGGTTGGTTTGGGTGGGGCAATGCGCCCCTGTTGGTGAGCTGTGTCGTTTGGCTTTGGGATGTTAGGGGCGTAACTCGACTCAAAGTTGCTGCAGGCTTTGTTAGCATGTTGAAGTTGAAGGGTTGCTTTTGTTGCGCTTTCTTTTCAATCTCTTTATCCACGCGGGCTAGGGCTCTTGTGGCACGCTTGTGGTGTTGCCTTTTGCTGTGTTGGGGCTGCTGCAATGAATGAGTTTGACCTCAGCTGTGGTGCTTATGCACCATAGAGTATGAACTAAATAGACGCCTAGCCTCAAAAATCGTTTGTTTGGAGCTCTATGGGGCCCTTCGGAAAGCCTGGCTCAGAGGGTTGCAAACTCTGGCTACATGTGATTAACATCTGTTTGGATCCTCCTTGGACCGAAAGAACATGGGTAGCTTCTTCACGCGGGCCAGGTGCTCTACGAGTCACAAGTGCTCAAATCTCAGGGTCATGGTCCAAATCCCATGTGGGAAACGCTCAATTAGGAAGACCGACCGCTGGCGACCGACGAAGACATCGACCTATCGACCGAGGCTGCCGCGGTCAGGTGGGCGATAGATATTCTGGTTCTTGTATCTACAACCATGTCTCATGTTTCGTCCCACACACCCAAACGGGCACCAAAACCCCCTTCGATTCAGGCAGATGCCAGTCATTTGGAGCAACACATGGTGATCCATTCGCCCGATGCACTGGACCGCGGGGCCGCGGGGTGGAGTCGGGTGGCAGAGTCGGCGGGTTGCTGGTTCCAATGCAGCCGGGCGTTCTGTGGCTGCATTTGGTTTCAAGATTCGCAGGAAACCACAACTCACTGATGAGGGAATGGATCCTACTAGGGGGGTCATTCCCTAGTAATTATAGTTGGTTAAACATTAAACGCCAGTCAGAAAAATTTGATCGCTTAGCAATCCCATAGGTTCTCCTACACAGACTCCTTTGTCTGAGACCGTTTGAATTGTTTGCCTCGGTGGAGAGGTTGTCTCGCTATACAGAAGTTCTTTTGTTCAGGGCAAGTACAGTTGCATGGCCAAGCCATGGAATGGGATTGAATGGCAGGTCATTGGAAGTGGACTCCTGAGCAAATCTACAGCATCTCATGTCATCACCCAGCGGTCCAAAAGTAGCAACGGCACAGATTCTGCTCTGGTTTCTCAAGACAGACCCTGTTCTGGTGCCGGGTTCCGCGGAATCGGCGGATCATTGTATCGTTGAGCGAAAAAAAACCACCAAACGCGGTTTCAGCAGCACTGTGATCGCAACAGTAGCACTAAGAATTGAGCATTGACCTAATTTTGGCCCGCGCAGCTACTTGTTTTTTTGTGGATGACCAAACACGAAACCCGGGCCCTGTGGGCTCCGTAGCTCCTGTGGACCCCTCAGGCCATGTGGTGAGTCTTGTGGGTCTTGTGGTCAGCGCCAGCTGCTCGGAGGTCACCAGCAACTGGCTATGGAGGATGGATGTGGGTGAAGATGCCGGTGAAAAGCTTTTGAAGCTTCTTGTTCCTTTGTTCCGTTTGTAGCTTCTTGTTTCAGTAGTAAGGCCAGGAGCGCCCCTATAGTAGTTTCTAGACTCTGTTCGTAACAAAACCCAGGGAGGTGGACATCCATCGGTGCATCTTCCCCACCGTTGGCCTATCCTGAGGGCCCTGAAAAGAAATAGATGGTACACAATATGCCAAAAACACATGTGTCACATGTTGTGTCAAAGCAAATCACCACCACCACCCACCCGGAACAAACATGGACACATACTGAGCCGCTCCTACCAGGGCCGGTTCTACCAGGTGTCTACTCGCCCGCACATCCTCCGGGTGCAGGAGGCGAACAAATGGCAGCTGAACCACATCCGGGTGGAGGACCGCTGATGGACCCGGGTCGAGTGAAGGATGTGGCCATTTCAAGCGTTTGCCGCGTCTCTGGCGGCTTTAATTAGACCACACTAGACCACACTAAGTACCACACTATATAGTTGATCCTAGGAGCTTGGTGTGAATGTCGATGCGGATGTGTGTCCACATGCTACAATTGTTGACCTAGAAGCGTAATTATCCTTGAACTTGGGTGACCTGACAGATGAACAGACAGAACCAAGAGAGGCCTCAGGTGTCTCAAGAGGCCGAGGAGTTTTCACATCCTTTTCGACTTGCGCAGACGGAGCCGTTTGTTCCTATTGTCGGGGCTGATCAAACGCATTGTTATATAGTTATATAATGATATATTCTATAATATGTTATATGATATGGATCTTCTTGGCCAGAGTCAAGACATGTCTTTTTGCAGACATACTACGTACCCTCAGGATCCACACACGCACACATTAATATATGATCACAAGACTTCAAGTGCCTCTTGACGCTTATGGCAGTATTTTGGAGGCATTGTTGGTTCCTTAATGACCTGAAGTTACTAGAATGACGACCCCGGATTGAGCGGTCATTAATTGAGAACTAGGTGCATTTTGCATGTTGTTCTTGGCTTGTACATGTGTTCATGAACTCGAAATGGGTATCATGTGAGTTGGATGTCGCTTCACGTCACACCCCGAAGAGAGAGGTCAAAGGAATCCAGCAGCCAGACCATCCAATGAGTGTCTCAATGTTGACAGAAAAAAACATTTCAATACACACATTTTATGCTGATTTCACTTACAGAAAGCCGTGAGGTCCGAAAAAGGTTGACCAGTTGCTTCATCAGCAGCATTGATATCCTGAAAAGAGTTCTTCTGCGTTCGGAAGTGGACGAAGCACGCCGTGGTGAGGTCTTCACCTGCGTTCGGAAGCGATTCCAAGGAAGTACTCGTAACTGGAGTTGTGATATCCAAGATCAGTCATCACACAACAACTCAGTTACACACACTGGAGTTGAGTTGTTCTACATCACACACACCAATGATTCCGGTGATGCTGACGACAAGCGTGACGTGGCTTGTGTCTGAAGCTGTCGGAAGCCGACGTCGACCCCTCGACCTCTCCATCCGGCCGTCGTCGCAACGGCCGCACCGTGTGCACCAAGAGGAGTCTGTACTGATGGAAAGGTGATGCGAGAGAAATCCACATGAAATCACATATCCTTTCGGACTTTCATGGCTGAAGCAGAACTGGTTTTGGAAGCTGAGCCGCTCAGAAAGACGGTCGATCAGGTTGGCCTCATGCAGAAGCTTGCACAGAGGGTGTATCCTCTTCAGGGATCACTTAGATCTCGATTGATTATTTTTCTGCCCCTGCAAAAGTTTACAGTAGCTTGGGGTTTAAACGGTGCTGTTGGTCTTTCCATAAGGAGATCTTGTAGTCTCAGAGCTATCAACACCACACATGACCTTGTACATCAGGAGGCAAAGTGTAACGGGGACACTCCCTGAATGGAATGTGTGCATGCTGTGTGCATGCCAAAAGTGGGGGCGTGGATTCAATCATTCAATGTAGATAATGCCAGTATTTACGGAGTTTTGTTTGCAGTGACAGATGTCACATGTGACAGCCTCGCTTCAGGCTGCTTGTCGCACCCTGTGACACCCCTGTCATTGCCAGGACTGTCAGGCTTCAAGACCCGAGGATAAGCTTCTTGGACGGGGCAGAGCGGTGCTGGTGCTGGTGCACACGTGGAGTGGTGGGGGGGGGCTGGCGGTGATTCCCACAATGACATTGATATTGGAGCAGTTGGAGAACATCATATACGTAGTTAGCAAGCATGGTAGATGAACCCAGGAGCTTTATAGCACAGTTATATATATATATTAATAGTATGAGATATTATAGTCAAAGGTTATCCCAGTCATCCTCCTTCAACATACGGCAGCCGACCTCTTTGTTTGATGGAGTTGGTTCCGCCCCGCGCAAAAAAACTGGCTGGGCGAGACAGACGGAGATTGCGCGTGAGGGATGGTCAAAGTTGCCATACCCAAAAAATCCGGGACGAGAATACATGCTTTTTCAGCCATAAGGAAAATTAATCACTTTTAGGCACTATATGTTGGTTTGGATAAGCAAAATCTATTGGATCCAAGTGCCAGTTTTGTTTGCAGGGATGGATGCCGAGGGTCCAATGTGTGGTCCGGTTTGCTGGTCTGACTGGGAACATGCAGGGGATGCTGCGTTTCCCCAGTGGGTTTGTTTGTTCCGTTCTATCACTGGCTTAGTCTTCCCGAGTGGATCTAAATGGTGTGTTCTACCTCGTGGGGGTCCTTCTTCAAGTGGGTTGGTAGACGTGTTAAGGCTTGACATGGTTAAGCTCACGTCCTGTTTGTTCGAAGCACATCGAACGACATCGGCAGTTCAGACCTATTATGCACGCATCGCTATGCCAGACACGACCGGTCTGGGACTGGCAGGGATAGGACTGCCGAGAAACGGCCAGGGGTGGTGCCAGAGGGGTCTGTCTGGGGCGGCATACATGGCAGTCCCATGGAGCGTTTGGGAATGCCAAGTCTTCAGGGTTCGTGGTTGATGGTTGAAAGGCTCTGACCGTCCTCAGTCGATCAGCAATTCTGAGGCAGACCATTCTGGCGAAGATCGGTTCCCCGGAGGAGGCAGGTTTCTGGTCTTCCTCCGTGTTTCGGTTCCATGATATAGAGAATATGGATAGGAAAGAACAATCATGAAGCATCCAAAATCATCCAGCAGTTCTTGGTGGTGTCTCAACACTTTCTAGCCATTTTCTGTCAGTTGGTGAGATGTTTCATGTTCGTTCTGGTGAAGCTCCACCAGCTTCATTCCTTTGCTTTTGCGATGGATGTGTTGGGCTTGGTGGGGTATCTGGTATGTCTTCAATATGATCATTTGTGTCGCGTGCCACCGTTGCGATGCGTTTTGATGCTTGACCCGACCTCGCCGGTACCAAAACCGTGACCGACCTCGCCGTCTTTTGGGGGAGTCTCTTGGACTTTCCTTGGGTTTCGGAGTGTGTAGGCTGTGTAGGGTATGAAGTTGGTTGCCTCCTCGCAAGGCTTTTTTTTGAAGGGGCTATTGTTCTCAGACACCGGAGTCATGACATGCTCGTTGTTCGCTTCTCGCTCCAGAACCCAAGATGGTCTATTGAACACCAAGTGCTCATGAAATGAACAGACCATTGTGTTTCCCTTCCGAACAATCGAAGCAACAGGTTTCGATCCAGTACCCTGGTCTCATACTAGGCTAGTTATGGTTAGTTATGGTTTGTATTTGAACATTAGGTAGTATAACTAATTTGGTTAGTTATGTTATGGTTAGTTAGCAAATGTTAAGCAATGGTTTGTTTGTTTGTCCTGAACATGCGCAAAATTGATTGCCTCAGCATGCCAGGTGCAAAAGTTCAATGAACACTTGCACCTCATCCTTTTGGGCAATGGAGGCCGGCGAAGGATTCGTCCGGATTCGCATCGATCCGTCGCGGGATTCGCGGGGAGTTCTTCGTCATGGTGACCGGTGCGTAGATCAAGGACTTAGAGCTGTAGAAGCTTACAGAATGCAACTTAATACCTCTTTCTTTCCGCTGGTCGGATATCAGGGAAAGAACACATGTCGTCATCTGCCACTCGGCCTTTGTGTTTACCAGTCACTGAACAGGTGAGATCAGCCAGTGACAGTCACAGCTTGGACTCTGCGATGGTCTAAGCCAGTTGTCACTGGTGATACCAAAGAGGTGAAGCGACAGATAGAAGCGTTCTTGTCGGAAGCTGAATATGGATCAAGGACATCACACAAGTTTTAGTCTAGCTTGTTTGTATACATGTTTGTGATCTATGTAGTACATCAGGGGGTACCCTTGTGGAAAGTTTATGAACACGATCCATTTCCATCCATTTCCCTTATCCGTCCCATTCAGGGGCCTTCAGGATCAGTCATGGCTCAGTGTTCATGTCAGTACCTGAAGATTGGTTCTCCAAGTCTTCACAATTCAATGAACCTTACAAGTTAATGCGAGATCACAAGTGCTTCCTGCTTGAGTAGGTTCATCACCCTGGTCACACCTTTAAGGCCCTTGGCTTTCCATGGCTTTCCCACCAGCTCTAAGTGAGATTCTCCCCCATGATCACCCACTCTTTCTCCCAACCTCCAACCGCTACGCCCACCATGCAGTTGGACAACACCCCGGGCCCCCCGGGCCTGCGAACATGCGAGAAAGGCCTTCTGGCTTGCTGGATGGACGGCCAACGGCTGCTGCAGGAAATCGGCGCCATCTCTGCCCGCGCGACCCCCGGCCGATCCGGACCGGCCCAACGGCCGTTCGACGATTCGACGGCGGTCGAGTCGAAGGAGCGGTCGGTTCGCTGTGGCGAAGAGGGAGATTCTGCGGCGAACACCAGGTTGTTGTTGTTGTTGTTGTTGTTGTTGTTGTTGTTGTTGTTGTTGTGGCGTTTGTTTGTGGGTGGGTTCGTGCCAACTAGTTACACAACATGATGAGAGGTGGTCTTTTTTTGGAATCAATACCACCCTCTTCTGCCAAGCTCTGGTGAGTTTGTGTTCTTTGGCTTATGGATGATGCAGCTGGATTTGGCTTGTTGCCTGCCGCTGGCGTTATTGCTCCTTCCACCTTTCCCTGGTAACCGGTGACTAGAACTACGGTCCATCATACCAATTCAGAGGTGGGCTACCCCTCTTCGTCTTCTCCTTGCTGGGGGTCTTTCATCAATGCGCTGCCTCGAATATAAGTTATCAAGTGACTTTATACATCTTAAGACTCCAAGGAATTTTAAACCTATGAGATCTAATGAGCAATCACATTGTTTCAGTTCCTCATCAGTTGCAATCCTAGGTGATAGCTGGATGTTGCCCCCCCCTACCCAGTCATAGTACTGGTACTGAATAGTATACGGAGGGAGTTACCGGCATGATTTGGCCAAAAGACCCCTGGTTTGTTTAGGGAGTGCGAGTCAGGTTTCATCCTAATTCAGGCGACTTGTGACATTTTACATTACACACACACCGACCGGAACTGGAAGGGGTCCCCACTGGAAGGGGTCCCCACTGGAATGAGACGAGTGGCGGTGTCCACTTCGATGAATGTTGGAGGAAGGGCAATGATTGTATAATACTGTACCATACTATACCATACTGTACCATAAGGATCCAAATTAATTACTCTTGTCAGAAGCTGTTTTGGGGGGGAACGCTTTGGCATTGGTGGGGATATTTACTGTATCCTTTTTCATGAAGTAACAATTACCAACACCAACGCACAACAAACAGAACCACATCACCACTAGTCCGCCCGCCCTGAGAGCGCCCAAGGAAAGCTCGTGTCGAGCGACAATCTCGGGTCCAAGCGATTCCCCCTGCAGCGCTGGGGGCGAGCTCGGTGGCCGGTGACGAGAAGAGCGGAGAGGTCCTCCCCACCTTCATGCTTTGAGTCCGCCAGTGAAAGAGGAGAGGCAGCAGGAGAGGCAGCATCCCAAATCTCAAAACAAACTGCCGATGTCTAGTCTGAAAGCACTTCATATAGTATGGTGTCAGTGTGTGATAGTGTGTGTACCATTTCCCTATATTGCAGTATACAGTATACGTATATATATATATATCACTCACAATATCTCCTTAAATTATATGGGAACTGAACTGCACTACTACCGTTTACTTTGAAAATACCACCTACAGTAATCTACAGTACACTGTTTGTTCTATTTCTACTTGTATCTTCCAGGAGAGTGCAACCATATACCACTTCATTTCCTCGTACCTCCAACTTGTACCCCATATATGCCATTTGCATGCCCTGCACAAACCGCTTAGACTCGACGACATTGGCAGTGTACGGTTTGAGCCGTTGAAGAAAGTGATCCCTGGCATCCTACTGACCACATATGTGGATGAAGGAACTCTATATATATATATATATAATATATGTGTATATGTATCTATAAAAGACAGGTGTCTTATTTACAAATGTGTTTGACAACATGCTCCAAAGCAGCCACTCTCCCATTGTCTCCTCTCGTATCCGCCGAAAAGGCTCACTCAGACCCTCTCCGGGCCCAAGACTGTACAGGGGTCGCCGGTCGTGGGCCGTTTTAAAGGCACTTGTTTTTCCCACCCGGTCCATCCACGACCTGGGTGGACCACGGTGTGGACCGCCTCACTTGAGCGGATGGAGCGAACGTTCTCCGGAGCGGTGAGTTTCGCGGGAGGGAACTCATTATTTTTATTGGCTACATCCAAGAAGTAGCGATGCTTCTTAAAGATCCATGTGGCTTTTCATTTTTTCCCCAAACAGTGTGGACACACTTAAGACTCAAGGGTTCTTACGGTAATAGTTAAGCAGCTGTGCTTAGATCGCTGGGGCGCGCGGCCGTGAACAGCTAATTCGTTGCTATTTACAGTACATTCATGCCTCTCGAAATCGTCGACGTGCATGTCGACTGGGCAGGCTCGCGAAATCTGGGTGGCTGGAGCGTGCGCTTGTCGCGACTGCGCTCTCGTTGTGGTGGTGCGCTTTTTCGCACATGGTCACATGGTGGTCACTTTTCGTGGCAGGTGCAAGAGAAACCTCGTGTTTTGGTGGTCCAAAGTCGACTTTTCGTTATAGGTGCAAGGGATCGGAGCGGCTGTACTTCGAAATGTGATCGTCGAGGCGCTCTGATTTCGTGACAGGTGCAGTGAATCGTGACGTTTGGACATGTGGCTCGTTTGCAGATTTCGTGGCAGGCGCAACCTCGACGCGCAGGTTTCGTGGCAGGCACAGCACTTTGTGCTCTCAGATGCTCACCTCTCGCTCTCACTCACACTCACACTCACTAACTCGCTCTCACTCTCACTCTCACACTCACTC